CCTAACGTGTCTGTGTGTCGTTTATCTAACATTCTACTACCTAACGTGTCAATGTGTTGTTTATATAACACTCCACCACCTAACATGTCTGTGTGTTGTTTATATAACATTCTACTACCTAACATGTATGTGTGTTGTTTATATAACACCCCACTACCTAACATGTCTGTGTGTTGTTTATATATCACTGCACTACCTAACGTGTCTCTGTGTTGTTTATATGTAACACTACACTACCTAACACGTCTGTGTGTTGTTTATATAACACTACACTACCTTACATGTCTGTGTGTTGTTTATATAACATTCTTCCACTACCTAACATGTCTGTGTGTTGTTTATATTACACCCAACTACTTAGCGTGTCTGTGTGTTGTTTATATAACATTCTACTACCTAACATGTATGTGTGTTGTTTATATAACACTCCACTACCTAACATGTCTGTGTGTTGTTTATATTACACTCCACTACCTAACATGTCTGTGTGTTGTTTATATAACATTCTTCTACCTAACATGCCTCTGTGTTGTTTATATAACACTCCACTACCTAACATGTATGTGTGTTGTTTATATAACACACCACTACCTAACATGTCTGTGTGTTGTTTATATAACGCTCCACTACCTAACATGTCTGTGTGTTGTTTATATTACCCCCAACTACTTAGCGTGTCTGTGTGTTGTTTATATAACATTCTACTACCTAACATGTATGTGTGTTGTTTATGTAACACTCCACTACCTAACATGTCTGTGTGTTGTTTATATTACACCCAACTACTTAGCGTGTCTGTGTGTTGTTTATATAACATTCTACTACCTAACATGTGTGTGTGTGTTGTTTATTAAACAATCCATTACCAAACATGTCTCTGTGTTGTTGATGTAACACCCCACTACCTAACACGTGTATGTGTTGTTGATTTAACATCCCCCTACCTAACATGTCTGTGTGTTGTTTATAAAACAATCCACTACCTAACATGTCTCTGTGTTCTTGATGTAACACCCCACTACCTAACACGTCTGTTTGTTGTTGATTTAACACCCCACTACCTAACATGTCTGTGTGTTGTTTATATAACACTCCACTACCTAACATGTCTGTGTGTTGTTGATGTAACACCCCACTACCTAACACGTGTATGTGTTGTTGATTTAACATCCCACTACCTAACATGTCTGTGTGTTGTTGATGTGACGCCCCACTACCTAACACGTGTATGTGTTGTTGATTTAACATCCCACTACCTAATATGTCTGTGTGTTGTTTATAAAACAATCCACTACCTAACATGTCTTTGTGTTGTTGATGTAACACCCCACTACCTAACACGTCTGTTTGTTGTTGATGTAACACCCCACTACCTAACACGTCTGTGTGTTGTTTATATGTAACACTACACTTCCTTACATGTATGTGTGTTGTTTATATAACATTCTACTCTGTGTGTTGTTTATAAAACAATCCACTACCTAACATGTCTCTGTGTTCTTGATGTAACCCCCCACTACCTAACACGTCTGTTTGTTGTTGATGTAACACCCCACTACCTAACACGTGTATGTGTTGTTGATTTAACATCCCACTACCTAACATGTCTGTGTGTTGTTGATGTAACACCCCACTACCTAACACGTGTATGTGTTGTTGATTTAACATCCCACTACCTAACATGTCTGTGTGTTGTTTATATGTAACACTACACTACCTTACATGTCTGTGTGTTATTTATATAACATTCTACTACCTAACATGTCTGCGTGTTGTTTATATAACATTCTACTACCTAACACTTCTGTGTGTTGTTAATACAACATTCTTGTTTATATAACACTCCACTACCTAACACGTGTATGTGTTGTTTATTTAACAATCCACTACCAAACATGTCTGTGTGTTGTTTACATAACATTCTACTACCTAACATGCCTGTGTGTTGTTTATAAAACAATCACTACCTAACATGTCTTTGTGTTGTTGATGTAAAACCCCACTTTTATATAACATTCTACTACCTAACATGTATGTGTGTTGTTTATATAACACTCCACTACCTAACATGTTTGTGTGTTGTTTATATTACACCCCACTACTTAGCATGTCTGTGTGTTGTCTGTATAACATTCTACTACCTAACATGTCTGTGTGTTGTTTATAAAACAATCCACTACCTAACATGTCTTTGTGTTGTTGATGTAACACCCCACTACCTAACACGTATGTTTGTTGTTGATTTAACACCCCACCACCTAACATGTATGTGTGTTGTTTATATAACGCTCCACTATCTAAGATGTCTGTGTGTTGTTTATATAACACCCCACTACCTAACACGTGTATGTGTTGTTTATGAAACATTCTACTACCTAACACGTGTATGTGTTGTTTATAAAAAATTCTACTACCTAACACGTCTGTGTGTTGTTTATAAAACAATCCACTACCTAACACGTCTGTTTGTTGTTGATTTAACACCCCACTACCTAACGTGTCTGTGTGTTGTTTATATAACACCCAACTACCTGACGTGTGTGTATAACACTTTCCCTAGCTAACATAACATGTCTAACGCGTCCTAGCTGTTTATCCTGCTATACACGTGCTAGAGACACTTGTGTGGTGTGGATATTTCGGTAGTCGTCACTCAGCGGCGATCAGTTCGCTAATTTACTGTCACAGATCTCCTAGTATACAGCCCTATCCGTCCCGTGTCCTACCGCCTGTCATAAAACCCATCTCTCTGTATGATATTTGTTAAACGTTGCACTTCGCCTATTATTTGTGCCCTCAGGGAGTGTTCTGGCTAATATATCTGAGTATACAGAGGGGAAGAGAGATAGATATCGCTTTACTTAAGCCTCAGGTATATTAGACAATTTAACACAATATTGGTGATACTACTTTTTTGAAACACGTAACAATTGTCATAAATCTGACATTGTTGATGGGGGTCAGATTCATGCTGCCCCAAATATTAAATAAAAGAAAACAAAAACAAAAACCAGTTGGTATATATAATAAAAGTTATAGGACGACAATATGACATGTGTTTTGTTGTGTCCGTGATGTTAAAAATAAATGATTTTTATATTGCTACACCCAGCAACACGAGTACGCCGTGATACTATAGGTACAGTAAGGTAGAGTGCCCCTCCTCTTTTCCATTGGGTACTGTTTTTGATAGGTTGTTTTACCGATGTTCCTGTTAAACAGATATCTTGTCTTATAGGTCATTACACACACAATTAAAGGTTAAAGGTTATTTCAGTGGGTTCGAACATTTTGAAAGTATCCCTGCGAATATTGCAGAACAATAGACCAAGTTCATTTGAGTGCAATACCTGGAACATGTGTTTTTTTACCTTTTTCAAAGTGATAATAATCCCAATTGTCTCTTTGGACTAATATCCACCGTTTAACAATTTTCAACCTTTGCTAGTGTATCACCCTATTGTATTTTTTTTATTTTTTTTTTATCTTTTTGTAATATGTCATATTGATTATAACTTCCACCTTGAGGATGAGCTATGTCATACACTAAGATTTCATTCGGATGTCATGTGATGACGTTGACCATACATGTCGACTGGTGCAAGGAATTACACCTGTCTCCATGAAACTATACTACCACGAGATCTGAATAATTAACAGTATATATATGGTTAAGTTTTCTATAGTCGTAGACGTTAATGTGTTTATCATTGCTTTGATTAGAACTTAGCAATTGTTAGTGGAAAGAGACATTGTTATGAGTAAACATAAATCGATTTCTATCAATTAAATATATATATGATTTGCCTATCTTTAACAGATAGGCACTATTAAAACAGTTCACGCCATGTTAAAGTACAGTATACATCTGAGGTATTTTTCTACGTTACATACATAGAAATTCCCCTCAGTTGAATTACATTATATTACTTGCAAATTAATTGGGAATAGAATTTTTTTTAAACAATAAGCCGTTTTAATGCTTTATAATGACTTAATGACCTATCTGTGGAACGTTACCCAGTAGACCATGTTTACTGCCTGAATAGGTTTCATCAGCTGTAGTGTTTTATAGGTATTGTCTTAATAATATGGACACACTTTACTTGAGTTAAAATATATCCCTTTTATAACAAATCATCTTATCCTTTCATTTGATCGAAATATATATTTTACCCGTTGGTGATAAACGGTTGTGAGGCAAGTTAAAATGTAAACGAATCTAGACAGGTACATACAATACAAAGACAAATAGAAGTTCGCATCAAGAGTATAAGTGTATAAGAGAAAGCATGGAGTTAGATAAAAGGTTGAATGATAAAGGTAAGTATACAAGATATATATAACGATGTCTATATTTAAATTCTTTTATCAAGCATGTAATTATTTGTACAAGAATTCACAATATGTAATAGGGACGGACGAACAAGTAAGAAATCACCTGGAGAGTATAGCTGAACTAAATTTTCTGGATAGGTACAAATCGAGGCAGGTACAAACACGATGTAAATACCAAATATGTACTTCAGATATATAGAGATATGGACTGATACAGAGTACGGCAGGTACTGACGTAATGACATGTCATATAATTGCACGTTCAGGCACGTGCAACGCATGTCGATGTTCTTGGTTACAGTTGGTGAACAACACTCAATTATTTAACGTACAACGCCACCGTGTTATGTGTTTTACGGTCGTAACAAGGGCCTTTAACATTTGTTGAGGCCGAACAGTGGTGTCAGGCTACAGTGAACGGATGGGGAAAGATGGGCCGTGACTAGAATGACAAGGACAGGCTACAGTGCTGGGTGTCAATCATAAGAAAGCATCCCAGCAGAGGTCATAGCCTCGCACCTTAAGGGAGAATTTCTTTTATTTCGGGGCAACCAGAAGCTATAAAATGCCTGAAAGTACTGACGTCATGTTTTTGGGGTACAGGTGGGACCCGTATGCAGCAGATGTTTACTAAAGCACCACTCAAGAGACACACCACTTACCTCTGGTTAATTGTCCTGGTTCATCTCTATCCTCTCACAGGTGGAAACAACAAACCAGTTCAGCAATATATACAAGGCTTTTACCACCACAAACCACAAACTCAGACGTTTAATGGAAGTTACACATTTCTGCTGTTTCTGAATTTATAATCCATCTAAAGCATATACCACTTATTTAATAATGTCTCTCTTTATTACGTCACACCTTGCCGTATTAAACTAGTATGTCCTCAAGCAACCCTGTTGCTTTCTAGCATGCACAATATGTTATAATTTAATATGAAATGGTGTTTAGTGTACGAGTATATATTTTGCTGTAAATGATTCATCATATATCTTAATGAATGATATCAACGTGATTTTATTTGTTGCATTGTGTTTTAATCTGAGATGAATTCATGAAAGTTTATTTGTAATGGATTATATGAAGTGAGGTAGAAAAATATATACCACAGCGAAAATGCAATAGGTCAAACATGAGACCCTTTAGTGCAGGATCAATGTAGACAACACGACATAAAGACAGCTATTGTGGATCCCCCTTCAAAAAACCCATTGGTGACATAAATGACTTATTATATTTCATTCGGAGTTGACATCACATTATAAGTAGGAACCTGTTAAAGACAGTCTCAGACTAGCATGGGCTGACTTTTTGTTGTGTACTAAGAAATTTTGGAGGCCAAGAGATACAACACTTACATAGTTCAACGTAGCTCCAACTTAGCTTGTGGAAACTATGGTGACAGTGTGTTCCACACAAACAGTTCGGTGTACTTTAACCCTTTCCTGCATACCTTTTTGCTAGTTTGTCAGACCCTTTCGAGAACAACCTTACACTTATACTTTGTTAGTCGTTCCCCGAAAAATATATCAAATAAATTACTCTGACTGACACTGATAAGAAACCGCTAATGACATAATTCATTTGAAATCCGTTTATGTTTTTATCATTAAGAAGCATCTTTTTTATTCTTTGATTAATTTATTCTCAGTTAAATATACAACCGTAAGGATATACTTTGTTGATTGTTGATTCTATGAAAAAATAGATAAATATTTAATTTATTAGTATCATTTTTACGGATACTGAATACGGAAATAAAAGATCTATGAAATATATCTATAAGGTAAACCAATACGTTGGTTTATAAGATATTCTGTACAAATGCGATAACTGTCTTACAAAGGCCTAAGTGTGCTGAATTCAATGATGCAGCTCGGATGTTTCAGTGTGTAACTAACTCACTAAACTCACCAGGTCTCTCTTCTCTAACAGTGCACAATGATTTATAGTTGTGCAACAATACTCTCTTTGAAAATAATAGGAGACGAAAGTTGTAGGTAATATTTTATATTTTTTTAAGTTTTGAGTTATTTATCAATGTAAATATGAAACGGCCATGGTGTCACAGTGCAAAGGGCTTTACTAAATGGCGTAGTGCGGCTAGACAGATACCCCGCATGTTCTGCTTTATTAGCAAATAAGGAAACTTTTCGACAACTCATCCCCTTTAAGCAAGGTCATTGCTATCTGATAAATTTTCCTTCATATAAATAATGATTTATACATCATGTCTGATAGGCCGTTTTTTTGTGATAGTAAAGGTACATTTTATTCAGAAAGAAACACCATGGGGACTTTTGCGATTACAAGCTTTAATAAAATATGATTGGGTTTTAAATGGGTTATAAAATACGCCAAAGAGAAAAAAACAAACTTTGAATAGGTCATTGGCAAGTACCAGTATCTATACTATATCATAATGAAGTTCTCTGACAGCTCTGGAGGTCGAAAATTTATGTTATATCATTTTCTATTTACTATCAACAATGGCACTGGGGTAAACAACACAGGCATGAGAAAGAAGTGGAATCTTCGCCAGTTTCTTTAATTTATAACGGGGCTCAATCATTCAACAAATTGTACTTATGTTTGAATAGAGTTTGTTTAATGAAGATTGCTAAATGTTTGTATACATTATCTTAACTAATCTTGACTAATTATCTTTTATTTTTATTTGGAATATATAGCTTCAGTTTAAAATCAAATATAATAAGCAGTGGAGTAAGCAATCTATATCAAGCTTTGTTTGGTTGAAAATATCATAAAGCAAATTTTCAAATGATAGCTTTCACTCATGAATCTTAGATCCAGAAAGTTTATGGATTATTTTGATGTAAATAATTAAGAAAAATTGAGATGTTGAAAGCATATCCTATTGCTAAAAAGCTAATAGGGCTTCACAAAGTTTATTCAGACTATGTGGTATACAAAAATGTAAAACAAAGGCATCTTCAGATGTAACTTTGTTTAGCAAACACATTTCAACGTAAAACAACATAAACAAGTTTGTTCAAATAAACTTGTTGTAAAGCATTCACAGAGACGCAATGAAATGAGAAGTTTATTCATATTTTTCGATGGAAATTCACAAGGATTCTTTGTTAGGTTAATTTGTTACTTCTTACAAAACCAAATGTATTTCTATATATCTCAGATGAATATTGTTTATTGTCTGAATATACATGCGATTCTTCTCCAAATTTTAACCTTCAGAATAAAATTCGATCTACTCAATACTGTTTATTGATGCATTATATCGGAAGCAGCTGTTTTTACTCAGGACGGCCCCCCTCCTAATTAGTAACTCTACTGAACATTGACTGTAGTACTTGGGGTCACCGTGCCCTACGCAGATACTACAACATATATTACTGCCGCCAAATGCATTAATTTCAAATCATAGTCATATCCCCATTATCAGCAATGGCCTTAACTAAAGCATAACAAAACCTTTGAACTTGTCTAAAGAAATGCAGTCAGTGATACGTTTGATATGCCCGGAGCTCAATTGCTTCTAATTCAAGTTGACCGGATAATTCTTTTTCGGACTCTACTGTTAAAAACGCGTACTTGAATCCGAAAGAATTAGTATTTGGTATAAGTGCTTTACCAATAAGGTAAACTTGTAATAATTATTAAAAAACCCACAAAAAAACACCCCAACAACATCATAACACAAGAACGAAATCGGAACTCAATATTTCATTAAAAACAACATATGGAGAGATAACTAAACAATTTATAGTGATCTCCTACAAACGGGGATCTATCAATTTTTTTATTTCATAATATTGTTGAAGTCACTGTGTCTGGACAGGTGTATGACCGTTGCTGGGAAGCTGTCTCGTATCCAGATCCCTGAAAGGAACAATGTGACCAGTTGACACACAGACGCACAGAAACTAAGGTCAAAGTTTAAAGATGAAGGTCATGACCTTTATATTTTATTGGTTTAATCAAGCGTTTTATGAATGGCTTGTTTCTGTAATTACTGATGATATCATTACACAACAATTAGAACGCCTAATTGACCAGGTATAAGTACGTCATTACATTAATTATATGATTACTTACAAACAGTAACAGTGATTTCTTTGTTTTTATAATGACTCAGTATGTATATCGGCCAACCTGATTGGTGTTCAGTTAGATTTAAATGGTTTCCTTTTTGTCCTCATTTGTAAAAAAAACAATGCCCAGAAATTTTTTGAACAAATGAACAAATAAATGAATAACTAAAAAATAAATAGAAATTGATCAGTAAAAGAACAGTACGTAACGTATTTGGATTTGCGTTATATCTTTCATCATAGTTTCCTGTTTATTGTATGGGAGAATTTTGTTATATAGTTGTCCAATTCCAAGATGCGTATTCGGACGAAATAATACTGAAATAGCATTTTTTCTCATTTTGTTTTTTCCGTTTCTTATTTACCGGAAGGTGGTATTTTTTTCAAAAAAACAAATAATCCAAAACGAAGGAGGCTTCTGTGGATAGGTGGATATCCATGGGTCTTTCTAAAGGATAATACCATGTATGTCCACGATTTCCCATAATCTGCTGTCGTGATTTCTTTTCCTTGTTAGGGCTTTAGTTTACCGTTTCCCCATAAACAACTTTACAGCTCCCGGACTAGTTGTTAGTAGGTTACAACACCGCTGAAGCTGACGCTGTGCCCGCACGTCCCCGTTGTAATGACCAGGTAATGGTAAAACTTACAATGGAGATATTGATCGTACAGAGGTGGGCCTACTCATTATCATCCTGTATCCGTTATTATTAGAGTGTCAGGTCGAACGCACCGCTGTCAGCATCGATTGCCTTGGTCCTGATCTGACTGTAAATTTCCCCGAAATTAGGTTTTGCAATTTTAACCATAATTTTATGTCTGTTTCCTTGTAGTTCTAGATCTAAATTGCGTTCAATAGATTTGTTTATATTAAACAAAGACAGGACATTTTAGGTGATAAATAATACGAAATACAACCAAGTCTACTAAGTATGAAAGTTCTAATTACACCATGTGCAATATATACAAATTGAAATGTTTATTATGATAAAATGAAATAAATTAAGAAAACTATTCAATTTAAACATTTTGAATTTCATATGCAATATGCAAATTTTTGATAAGGACAAGAAAAAGAAAACATCTAACGCAAAATATTTATTTTTTCAACCCTTTTGGCTGCAATTTTGAAATAAAATATATTGAATTTTTTAAACATTTGCAACATTGAGCATGTCAGGAGTTTTTGAAATGTCAGGCACTTGACATGGTGAAGTACAAGTACCTATATAACATATATCTCTGTTTTACGTGTATACTCCTATAGATTGTGGCACTATCGGGTACATGCAAGTTGCATGCAGAACAAGGCATAAACTTGGAGTTTTCCCAAGTTAGAACCTGTAACCAAATGATCACAGGAAACTTGTTGCTACTAAATTATTCACCAAAACACAGTTTCATTTCAAAAACCCTGTTAAGATAAATGATATGCAAAGTTAAAATTTGTTATATAAATGACATAGTATTTCATTATACGCTCAAGCTGTCGGGGCTAACCATTGGCTAGTGGCCAGAGTGGTGAAAACGCCAAGACATGTACTGACTTCTCGGGTCTATATTATTTAGATTTGAATTGATTCTAGTCCTATCGTACAAATTTACGTATCTGAATTTGGTGGGCTTAGATTTTAGCCCCGACTGTAGACCAAATTGATGATGCCTAGTGGACTGGGAGGGCGCCAGTTATTTTGCTGACACCGTGTTTAACGTTTTGTGCCAACAAACTATCCCCACTCGCCTTAAGACTTCTACAAAACTCCGATGATTTAGCTATGTTTCGTGAGCTGGCTCTCCCAACAGCTGCAAAATACAGGCTTTTAAAGTCCCGCATTTGCCAATGTAGAAGTCAGCTCGTAACAAACATATCATTTTCTCGCCACCATCCCAGCGAAATCATAGCGTACTTGACAGTTCATTTTGCTGAACATTGGT